ATAGGTTTTGTAAAGAATAGCACTAGAGAAGAAAAAGGGAAGTGACAGCGGTGAGATTCGAACTCACGCCCTTTCGGACCGGTGCCTTAAACCGGCGCCTTAGACCGCTCGGCCACGCTGCCTACATTTAATCCATCTAGTAAGCCGATAGACTTGCCGATCTATTCGATAGGTTTTGTAAAGAATAGCACTAGGGAAGAAAAAGAGAAGTGACAGCGGTGAGATTCGAACTCACGCCCTTTCGGACCGGTGCCTTAAACCGGCGCCTTAGACCGCTCGGCCACGCTGCCTGCCTTTAATCCATCTAATAATAAATAGTTGGCGTTTATAATCAATGTGATAGAATGAAAGATTTACAGCACCTTTTAAAGTCGCAAAATAAGAAATAAATCTGTGTTTGTCTGGTTTTATTTTCAAAATATATTGCTGTAAATGGGAATTTGTATCATTATCCAGTTATGTTCATCCTTGAATCAGTGACAACCATATTCCTTATATCTTTTTAAAGCTATAAAATAATTATTATCATAAATTGTATCTTCAAGTTCAATAAACACGATAAACTAGTAGCATTATGAGACAATAATCGATTTATGGAAATAGGAAAGGGCGAGATCTTATAAAACCACAAATTCTTCGACTATTGAACAATTAAAAATTAATGTAATTTTCATTGTGGATGATTTTGTCGAGAAGTTTGGTAGTATTATCAGGTTGATGTTATAATATTCATAGTAATAAAGATGAAGAAGAGGCTTTTTTAGTTTTTCTTGCCTACATGACTGTTGGAGCCATGAAATATGTTGCTAATCACTTTTGACGACAACAACAACGCTTTCATCTCAAGGAAATGTCACTGGATAAAGTATTTAAATCCGAATCGATGCCTATAAGATTGACTGTATTGGAAAAAAGTACTGATGTCTAATATGTGTCACTTCAATGTCTATCAATGGCTTGATAGCTTAAATAGCGATTCTGCTCACAAACTTGTCAAATGAAAGAGCTTTTGAAACACTAGAAAATCGTACGTTTATAAAACTCCAAAAATTTTGGCTATTTAAAGACTCTCTCACAACAGATTTTTTTTCATTTAGGATAATCCATTTGAGGTGAACTTTTCAACAATGGTTGGCTCTGGTGAGAAACGCTTCTGGCAAACATTTCAGCTCATTACGTCAAACTAGACTAAGCTTTCAATTTATTTATAGTCGATTTATGGTCTTGAGAAGAATCTTTATAACCTTATCATTACAAGAGGTACAGAGCGGAGGGGTGATTTCAAATTAAAGCTAATACCTGTACATAGTTTTGTCCAAAGAGAATTTTTGAAATTGACTTCCATTCGTTTTTCTTAACATTTTAGTAGAAGCAAAGTTGAAATAAGCAAAAAAACATCACTTCACGACACTAAGTTTTGCTTTTCTCAGCATTGAAATCAATTATAAAGAATCTGGTGAGACTAAAGTTTACTCTCATTGAAACCTCTAAAATAAAAAGAAATATTGGTCATATCTTGAGCCAAGTGAGAGTTCTTTCAATTTTTCTGATGGAAAACTATGTTCTGAGAAAAAGGGGTAAATTGGTTCTGACATGGATTTTTTTCGTTCAATCATATATATATGGCAACATAATTTTCAAAAAAGAACGTAATATATGACATAAGCTAGCACTATCTACCGTGCTTATAATATATAAGAGCGTATATTTAATGTTGATGCAAGCAAAAAGACAGTCTATCCCAAAAGTAAAACACTTTAAAACCACCAAAATTTCTCGAAGAATAGGGTAGTAGGATCAAAATTTGTTGCAAAAGTCTGTTAAAATTTGACCTTTTTTCGAAAAGTTACATATGTATTCTGAGAGAAGAAATTTCGTTGCATCTGTCTATGATAAAAACTCAACTTTGGTTGTTCGACAAAATGGATTTTCTGAGAGTTCTATTAAAGAACTCCATGCATAGTATTTTCGAGACATGATTTCAGTACCTTTTGAGTCTTGTTTTGGTAGATTAGATTCGAGTCAGAAAAAAAAGCATTTTCCATCGATACTTAAAGAATTCCTTCTATTGAACTCCATGGATCTCTATCAGTTGACAAGCAATTAAATAGAATCGATTTCTTAACTAACATACCTTCAGTCGACATTGAAAGAACAAATAAAAGACATCAGTATTTTTTTAATAAACTCGGCCTCATAGAAATCGAGGCAGAATCCAATGTTCTGTCTGGTGAAATCAATTCGAGATGAAACTATTGCTGCTGTCGAAAGCAATTATCCAGATACCTCAAGGTTTCGACTGGCATATAAGCAATTAGAAATTAAGGACAGTATTTAGAGATCTTTAGTACTCTAGATATCATAGGACCAATGTGAAATTACTACCAAACTACTTAGTACAAAATGCTGCATAGTAGAAATAAGTAAATTTTAAACAGTTTAACAATAGACAGATTCCTTGTCTTATACGTCTTCGTCCACTAAAATCAGAACATAGCAATTACCTCAAGTTTGATTTTTGTGCATTGTAGTTATGTATATGAATTAACTTTTAAAAAAAACGATCGAAAGTAAAATATAAACTTGCATTTTTTTTCTTCGTTTTCGACTATGATTTAATCTGAAGTAAATACTATTTTTAAAAATATTCTTTCATCAATATTTATTTATTTCAATTAAAAAAATTTATTGAGATCTTTTATCAATGTTTCGACAGTTCTATTGTCGTTATCAAGATAGTTAGAATATGAATAATACTACATGTGAGAAGTAAAGAAAGAAAAGAAGGGTAATAGTAATTGGCTGAAATTGACATCGAAAGTGCTGATTGATCGTATGTATGGTATATAGGAAATGAATATTTGTGATTAGTTAAAGAATCCTACAAGAAATTAAACTTCTTTTAAACAGCTATAAGCACCTCAGTATCTCTATTGACTAGTATTTTGTATTATCGGCAATATTACTATATTATCTTGGAAAAATATAATTTAAAAAAAAAAATAGAGACGACTACGAATAGAAAAAATAATAAGGTATTCGAATCTGATAAAATCATTGAGTATTCATCCGTGCGTTTTTCTTTCTTTGATAACATTTTTTACAACATTTTACTTTTCAATTTACACCAGTGACTTC